TTTTTCTGGGCTCCTGTCACATGGAGAAGAATTGTTTTCTGTCTTTTCACTTTCAGTCTATGGGCTTCTTTTTGCACTAGGTGTGTTTCTTGTATACAACATATTGTTGAATTTTGCTTCTTATTCCATTTTGCCAGTCTATTTCTCTTGATTGGTGAGTTGAGGCCATTGACATTGCTGGTTATAACTGATATGTACTGACTTATTGACATGTTATTGGCCTTTTGTTGACTCTTTTTACTTTTTCACCTTCTCCTTTTAATTTCTTGCCTTGCCAATATATTTGATTTGCTCTGTTGGGCCTCATGGTATTGTTGCCTTCATTGTTTTTTTCTAGGATCTTGTTTAGAATTCCTTGTAGTGCTGGTTTGGTATTCATGTAGTTTCTCAGGTGTTCTTTGTCGTGGAAGTGTCTTATTTCCCCATCCATTTTGAAAGTGAGTTTTGCAGGATATATCAGTCTAGGTTGGAGGTTGTTCTCTTTTAATACTTGAAATATCTCATTCCAGGCTCTCCTTGCCCCAAGGGTTTGTATTGAAAAGTATGCTTTGATTCTGATGGGCTTTCCTTTATATGTGATTTGTTTCTTTTTTCTTACTGCTTGTAGTATTTTGTTCTTCTGTTGGGTTTCTGGGATCTTGATTATTACATGTCAAGGTGTAGATTTTTTTTTGATTGTAGCTAATTGGGGTCCTATATGCCTCAGTTATCAGAATGTCAAACTCTTCCCCTCTGTTTGGGAAGTTTTCTGTCATTAATTCTGCAAACAGCTTTTTAAAGTCATTTGTATTTTCTCCTGCTACTTCATGGATTCCTATCAGTCTTATATTATTCTTCTTTGCATCATCTAGGAGTTGTTGGATCGATTTCTCATGATCCCTTACTGTTTTTAAGAGACCTCTCTTTTCATGGTCACTGACTGCAATCTTATCTTCTATATCTGAGAGCCTATCTTCGCATTCTTTTATTCTGTTGCGTACACTTTCTATGGAGTGTTTAATCTCCTGGATATCTGTTCAAATCTGTTTTATGGATTCCATTTCTTTCCTATGTTGGGCGTTTATTTTTTCCATTTCTTTCTTATGCTTGGCCTTCATGGCTTCTATCATGGTCCTGAGCTCATCTATTTTTTTGTCAGTTTCTGCTCTAGAGTCTCGAATCACGACTTCCATTTTGCTCACTATCTCTGTGGTTATCTGGGAAATTATTTCTGTTTTGAATTTTTCTAGAGCCTGATTGATCTGTTTTGTTACTGATTTTATTTTTTTATAGACATTTAGTTATAAAACACAGCCTTATGTGCATTTCCCATTTTTTTTCCGGCACTGGGAATTGAACCTAGGGCTTCTCACTGAGCTATATATTCTTAGCCCTTTTTATTTTTTATTTTGAGACAGGTTCTTAATTGCCCAGGCTAGGCTTGAACTTTCAGTTGTCTTGAGTATTAAGATTATAGGGATGCACCACTACACCTGATTCATTTTCCAAATTTTTAATATACTGTGTTTTTATTATCATTTATCTTAAAATATTATCTAACTTGATTTCTTTGATTATTTGGATATGTATTTCCAAACAGTTTGTATTTTCCTAGTAATGGTACTGTTGATTTATCATTAATTCCACTATGGTCAGGAGACATACTTTGTATGATTTCATTCTTTTCATATTTTTTGGCTCTTGGTTTTATGACCCAGGGTCTCCTGGGAAGCAAACCATGTGCACAGAAAATGGATGGGTGTCTTCCTATTATTGGACTGTATAGATACCAGTTAGTCAATGTTGATGAAGTTCGGGTCTTCCCTGGCTCTTTGCTGATTTTTGTCTAGTTATTCTTTCATTTGCTAAGAGAAGGGTGTTAAGACATCTGAGTTGGTTTCTTTTTTTTTTTTTTTTCCAGTTTTTTGAGACAGGGTCTCGGTGTGTAGTTGAGACTGACCTGGAATTCACTGTGTAGCCCAGGCTGGTCTGGAACTCACAGCAATCCTCCTGCCTCAGCCTCCCGAGTTCTGGGATTATGGGTGTGCACCACCACGCCCAGCTTTCTGAGTTGGTTTCTGGAGTTGTCTTTCCCTCCTTTAATTTTTCAGTGTCTGTATCACAAATTTTGAAGCTGTATTATTATTATTATTTTGTTTGTTTGTTTTTTTGAGACAGGGTCTCACTATGTAGTCGAGACTGACCTGGAACTCACTATGTAGCCCAGGCTGGTCTCAAACTCACAGCAATCCTCCTGCCTCAGCCTCCTGAGTGCTGGGATTACAGGCGTGTGCCACCACGCCTGGCTTGAAGCTGTATTATTAAGTGCATTCTTATTTGTGAGTATGTTATCAGAGATAATTAGGATACTGCTTTATCTCTGATAATACATTTTATTTTGCTTTCTATTTTCTCTGATACCAACATAGCAACTATCATCTTCTTAGTCTTACTTATTTATATATATTTTTTGGTACCAGGGATCAAACTCAGGACCTTGGACTTGTGAGGTAGGCAGGGGTACCACCGAGCTAAATTCCCAGCCCTTCTTAGTCTTTTTGCCCAGAGGGGAATTAGGGATTGAACCACAGGGTCTTCTCACTAAGCTACACCCCCA